ACTATTATGGTTTGAGTTATTTCAAAGTAAAATTACTATCTCATAGACTAGTGATTACATGTGTTTGTTTTTGTGATATAGTTTGAAATAATATTTTTTTATATGAAGTATAGAGAATTGTATAGATAAAAAAATATTGATATGTATAATATTTTAATTAAGGGAGGGGGGGGAGGGGGGGGAATGTGTGTGAAAAAAATACAAAAAGACCACACCATGGTTCGAGGATTCAAGTTTTAGTTTAAATAATAGTTCGGGTCATTTATACAACACGTTTTTGTATTTTAGTAAAAATATATAAAATATCTCGTATTTTATTTATTGCGTAAAATATTCTTTTGTTAAATTAAAGCTTGCACAAAATACTATTTTTATCAAAATCTGATCTTTGATTGCAAATACAGATCTAAAGTATGCAAATTTAATACAAAAAAATAAAATAAAATATTTAAATAGTATTTTTGAATTGATTAATTTTTTATTTTTATAGTTTTTTAAAAATCAAATAAAAATTTATCTCTAAAAAACTATGAAAAAGAAAGATTAATCAATTGTTTATTAATTTATTTTATTAAAAAATGACTATTTAATATTTATCTTTTTTGTATAGAATAAATATATACATTATATTAATTATTGAATAAAATAAAGAAAGATAAATATTATTTTATCTTTGTATAAAATAATAAAATCTTTGTAAATATATACATTATATTAATTATTGATTAATTTATTATATTCATAATTTTTAATAAATTTATTTTATTTTATTTACTTTTATTATAAAAATAAATTAATAATATTTATGTTTTTATTTTTATTTTATTTTAGTAAATATATATAGTTTACAAATAAATTTATTATATATAAAAATTAATTAATTTAATTTTATAAAAATAAAATTATAATATAATATATAATAAATTAAAATAATTTATAATTATTGCAGTAAAAAAATATATTTATATGTATGTGAAATAAATAATAACATTTTACGGGCAAAGAAGGAATAAAATAAATTAAATTGAAAAAACTTTTTCAAAATGTTGGGTTATATAACTTTTTAGAAATTAGTTTTTTTTTTTTTTTTTTTTTTTGTACCAATAAGCTATTTCAAAAAACTAATTTACCAAACATCTAAATTAACTTTTTGTCTGGTCAAACAGCTAAAAACTATTAAATAAACTAAAAAACTTTTCAAAAAAACTATTTGACGAACACCCCATAATGTAGTCGATGACTGGATGAAATTTATTGGAAAGTTATTTGAGTGAAATAAGATTTCTAATAAAATTTATCAGTTTTCACATTGATAATAAATTTAGTAATAATCATTTCAGAATATATATTGTACATAATATCTCTTACTCCACATCTCTACCTTGCCAAGGCCAATCAAAATTAACTTAGCCTAAACAATGTTAAAACTTGAAAATTGAAAGAGATTTGGAAAGCATGTTGATTGGGTTTGATGTATGAATCTTAGCTATGGAGATTTTTAGCCTACTTAACTATGTCCTCAAAAAATGATGTTTTTATACATACTTATATATGTTTTATCTTATCACGATATCTACTATTCTTCATCACGTATAGGCTATCCATAGAAATACCAAACCAAGAAGCCAATTGGATTCTTTGATTCCCTTATTAGTGGCAATGTACTCGACTTCTGTAGTTAATAAATTTCATTGATTGAAGTGATGCCTCGGAAAAACTACTCAAATTAAAGACAATGTGTGATAACAACCATCTTTTGTAAGATTGTTGCATAATCAACATCAATAAATCCACAAATGAGAAGCTTAAAGAATCCCTCTTGGAAAACATGATACCTTTGTCGAAATAGTTTTGCAAATACTTTGTCATGATCCAAATGACTTCATTCTAGTGGTTGTTGTCCTAGGATTGTGCATATATTTTGTCAATAAGATTTGCCACGTAAGCAATGTCAGATAGGGTCCACACCATATATAGTATTCTCTCCGTCCACCAAATTTACTTTTTTTTTTATTTATTCATTAAATTTACCTCATTATTAATTTTGACAAAGTCAAATATTCAACATTTTAAACTATTATTCTTTATTTAATACTTATTTACCATAATTACTACTACTTTTGTTACATTTTCTCTTTTCATTTTATTCAATTACTAACTAAATTTTCAAAAATACCTTCAACTACTTTTTTTTTTTACTTTTCTTATTTTTATAATAAAATATTTTTTTGTCTTACTCTCTGCGCCAACTCCATATTGGCTAATTTTTGCGAACGGAGGGAATATATATGATGCTTTCAACAATGTTAATGCATAGCTAATGGAGTAGGTACTATGTTTGGCTTATTCCATCTTACAACTTCATAAGGTCCTTGTTGAAGTACTTGCTTTGGGATAAATAAAAATTATCCCGTGCATGGTTCCTCATGCTTTTTTGGCTCTAGAGTTTGCTTGATTGCACTTAAATATTTCATTTCAAACTTGTTTAACCGAGTCTTCAGGTAGCTGATAAATTTGATGTCACTTGATGCAATCAACATATCATTTATGTACAATAACAAATAAACTAAAGAATCACATGAGGCTTTCTTGAAATTGATACACTAATTAGATTTGCTTTCGAGTATATCCTAGATTAAATGTGAAGTTTTCGAACTTTTTTGTTCCAATACCAACGTGATTTTGAATCTAAAATTTCCTATAGAGGGTTGCCTTGTGTGGCATGGTGTGGGAAGAGATTTATGAGGAGATAGAAGAAAACTCTAAGTGGGGGGGTTTGTACGGAACAAACACATCATTCACAAAAATATAAAGTTAGCTGAGAAGATAGTAGAACTATTGTTCTATCTCTATTTTATTTTAATTGAAACAATGAATACGGGTACATATATATATATATATGGCGTGTTTACTTTGGATGATTAAGATAGATAATATTATTTTATTAATCTTGATTATATGTTTATTATAATGGATTAAAATCTAATATTGATTCAAGTCCGTTACACTAATATGCTATTAAGGATAATTAATTCTACTTAGTTAGATAAGTAGAATTAATTTATTCAAGTAATATTTATACTAAAATTTATATTATCTTATATTTAATCAAACAAAGTAAATATCATATATATATATATATATATTAATCTAGTATCCATAAAAATAATTTAGATATTTAAATCCAATCTTTCAAAGTAAATACATCCCATAGGAAAATGGGTGGATGGATAAACTAAAAATCCCAAAAGTAATTGCAAATCTAAATAGAAAAAAATCTACCTAATTTTAAGGGATTTGATATGGCTGGATATGATATCCAAGATTTAATGCAGCAAACCCCCACTTAATCCTGGATTGGATCAAGATTACTTATGCCTATCAAGTATTACTTTCGCGTGGGCAGTGCAGCCAAACACCCTTAGATAAGCAAGGTTTGGGTGTGTTTCTTTCGATGAGTTTGGAAAAAAAAAAATTAGTTTGAGTTTGGTATAAAAAAAATATTTGATGGGATATTTGGTAAGACGAAAAAATATATTTTTTTCGGGAAGGAAAAAGTATAGTCCAAATAGTAAAATCTGGAGAAACTTTGTTAAATAAACATACCCGAATGGCATACAATTGCCCAATGCCTTACTTGGTAGAAGGTTTAGGATATATTGCATGTCTCGCTTCCCCCCAAACATCGTCTGAAACATTCATGGTTGTTAGAAGAGATCTTGTCATTACTATCACTGTCCGGTTTCTGCATTCCACTACACCATTATGTTGTAGCGTGTATGGAGTGGCTAGATGCCTATGGATCCATTCTGCTCCCCAAAATGTGTTGAACCCTGATTAGATAAATTCACCTCTTCGGTCAGTCCTTAATATTTTGATTTTGTGTCTACTTGCGTTTATCCACTTGTTGATTCAATTTCTTGAACGTTTGTTTCGATCTAATCACAAATATCCACATCCACCATGAATAGTTCTCAACAATTTGTATCACCCTGTGTCGAATGAGTGATTGGTCCACAAAGATCGGCATGTAGTAAAGCTAGTGGTTTCTTGGCTCGATAGTGCGCCTGGATGGGAATGGTTGTCGAGGTTGCTTTGCAATGAGACATCCTTGGCAAAGCTTGTTTGGTTGTGTGATCAATGGTGCTCCATCTATCATATTATTTTCTGTCAATTTTTTCAATAAGTCAAAATTTACGAGCGCAATTCGTGTGTTCTACAACTACACTGGTCTGAAATATTTGCATCAAGCATACTGAACTGCAAAAAAGTGATAACGGCCTTGTACAAACAATTAGGAAGGCTTTTGAGTTTCATGAGTAGGGTTTCACTTGAGTTGTGTATCCATAAGTATTCTCCTTGCATCATGAGTTTATTTCTATAAAAAATATCTATTTTTCATTCTGGTCCGTCTCATAACAAAGTATCTATTTTTTTTATTGTCTATTTAACCTTACAAATACCCTTCTAATTTACTATAAATTACACAAATATCATTACTTTTATATCAAAGTTAGTTTAGTCTTTTTATCTTTATTTTTAGTGCATGTAAATATAATACTAATATATTCTAAAACTCAATGCGAAAAGAAAATTAATAGATAGATATGGGACAAAGAGAGTAATATTAATACATAGAAGAGGGATATAATATACTTTAGTGATAAGTATGGGACAAAGAGAGTAATATTAATACATAGAGGAGGGATATAATATACTTTAGTGAGAAGTCGTTAATAGTATGGATCCGATTTGGCTTTTTGAAAATAAATAAGAATAATAAAAATATTAAGTATTCAATAGGATATTTTGTGATATTATATACTATATTTAATTTAATTTTTTAAAAAAATTTAATATTGATGAATAGTAATTATCTACGTAAACGGGAGTGGATCAATAATATGATGAATAATTTTAATTCCACGGTTTGTCTAAACATTCTCAATAGAACACATTAATCAAACATCTCTAGAACAACATAAATTAACATCAATCAACCAGAAACCAATGTTCCAGTTCTCCCGCGAACCCGTCGCCGGTCAGTCCCGATGTCTTGTCTCTTCAGTTTTCCGGGGAAAACAATATGGTCGATGATGCTGCAGCTCTTACAACCACTCCATCGATTTCTAACCTCAAACAATGCTAAAAACACTGCAGAAACTGCTTCATATTATTGTTGTCGCACTAATTCCCGAATGGCAAAAAAAAAAAAAACAGAGTAAATCTTGCGCCGGCGAAGGATCAGCGCAACCTTGACAGACACAAGATGATTGCAAATGTTGCGAGAACAGCCTGCACAAGTAAATGCACCACGCCGTTATATAGACACACGACAAGGTTAGGAATATATATATATATATATAATCATATGTGCCGAAACTTGGTTGGGAATATGAAAAATAAAACGACTTACGGCAATTGCACAAGCAAGGTATCCCTGTTTCTCACGAGGATGAACTCTCGAGAATATTAGAATCAATGCTGCAATGTACCAAGGAATCGCCGGCAACAAGAAGCCGATAATAAACCTGCAAAAATGAAAATTTCGAATAGTTATTTTGCCGGCATTTTTCTTGGGAGTAATTTATCCATCTTTAGAGTCAAAAAGTTGTGTTGAAGAAAAATTCGCTTGTGCTCATTAACCATCCGTAATCGAAGCACGGATAATTAGATTCACATTTATTGTCATTAAACTCACTCGAAGTAGAGTTCTAATTAAACATTCACAAGGGATTTATTAATGGAAGAAAATCCGATATCAGTTAAGATTTGATGGCTTAAGTAGATTGATTGTAAGTTATAATCAAATCTAACGTCACAAAATGTGAGAACTAACTCAATGTAGCTTAACATTTGTTTTCTCAAACATCCGACAGATTTTGTAGATACTTTTAATAGAACTTTTAACACTATTCATCAACATTAACTTTTTCATAAAAAAGGAATACCATCCTAAATATTCAACTTTTACTATCCTCGAAATTTTCCAAAACTCCAAATTTTCCATCTGAAGAGAACCTTAGTAAATCATAGAGAATGACAACTTACAGGAACCAGCCGACGCCAAGACCACAACAGGGAAGATGTGGTGCCGTCAACGGTCGACCATCAACAATCACCATACCTGCATCGGCGTGGAAGTATTGGCGCAACAATCAATTCACCAACGCCGAAAAAAAAAAGCGATGGTTACATCAAATTTGTCCAAACAAAATTGCTAAAACATTTATATGCAAACATTTTTTTTAAGTTAGAGATGCATTATTTTGAATATGTTCTTATTCAAACTATCCCCAACTCCAAGCAATTGATCATCTAGCAAAAGTTTGGGCTCCATTTAAGTAGACAATTTTCGAAGTTTTTGCTATATTCATGGATAATATCTATGTTCTTCAAAAATCTCTATCTAAACAGAACTAAATCTTCGAAATCGGTTAAATTCTATGCAAGCTTACGATTTCAGCAATGTCTACGAACAATCTCGTCGATAATTCATCAATCCATCACGATTGTCCAACAAAATTTAGGGAAACACAAATTACGCAACGATACCCAAATGGATTCAACAAATAAGCTCCATTCCGACGCAATAATCGAACAAATTAAACGTAAATGAATAATTAATTACGTAGGCAGAACGAATGCCAGAATCAAATATACCTCGAACAGGTAGGTAGCTGTTTCCGTAGTAACGCGGCTGCAGCTGCACCGGAAATCCTCCAAACAAAGGCTGGGGCGTAATCGGAAGTCCCCGATAAAAACTGCGCTGCGGATACCCAAACGCCACCCTCGGAGGGTAGGCGGCGGCCGTCGGAGTGTAGCCGGCGGCGTGCGGAGGGTAGCCGGCGGCGATACCACCGAATGCCCGTTGCCCGCGGTCGGAAAAGGCGGTCCTCTCGTCGTCACTCATTATTTCTGCTCTGGATGATTCCTTGAAGCGCAGTTCCTCCGGCGACGCGAAAATTGGGTTAAATAGAAGAATGCTCCATATTGTGAGTGTGCTGTAGAGATTACAGTAATACGTTCCATTTCATACTGGGGGACACGCCATTGACGACCTGCTTACACATGGAAGAATTGGTGGGCAATGTTGTCATTTCACAATTTTACCGCTAAAACGATTTCGACTTTTTGGCACACGGAAAACTTTGTAATTAATGTTGGGGATAAATTACTAATTAATATTTTCTCAATCCAATTTGAATTTTAAGATATGGAGTATATCTTTACCCTTTACTCAAATTTTTAAAATAATACCCTCACCAACTTAGTTAATATGTTCATTTTTTTTCATTTTGGTCTGTTCATATTTATGTTATTATTTTTTTAAAAGTATAATTTAATCTCATTTTAAAATTTTTAATTTAAATTTTTTTAATTTTAATTATACTAATTATTTATCTTAATATTAATTTAAAATTATTTTATTAAATAATAATTATTTTTATTAATACATTCTTAATTATTTACTAATTATACTTTTCCTAAATTCTCGTGTCCACCGTAAATAGTATTTTAATTGTATGAATAATTAATAATAGTTTAAAATAATTTTATAATTACTTTTTATACAAAAAATAATAATATGATAGTAAAATAAAAGTATTTATAAAAAATTGGATATTTTAAAAGGATTACTTTGTAAGTGAACAATATATTATATGTATATTGGCCTCTACTTTTTGTCTGATCTTTAAATTTAATTAATATATCAAAATATAGTACAAATAAAGAGAAAAAATAAAAAAAAAATATTTTTATTAGTATTTTATAATATAAAAACATTTATTAAAAAAAAATTATAACCCGTGGACGACAGTGAAAGTATTATTTATTCTAATAAATATTAGATAAAGAAAACTATTTAAGTCAAAAAAAAAAAAAAAAAAAAAAAAAAAATTTCAAATTAACACCGAACAAACTCATTATTCATTTATATTTATAGCTTATTGAATTTCTTTAATCAATCAATGAGTTAATTTAAATATATGGTAAATAAGTAATTTCATTTTTAAAATTTATTGAATCATAAAATTTAATACTACTATTTAAAAATATATACTCCCTCCATCCCGAAACTAAGAATGCATTTACTTTTTGCACGTAGTTTTAGAAATATAAGTATTATATTGGGATATAGTAAGAATAAAGTAAAAATGACTAAAATAACCTTATTAATATGTGTGATATAAAGGTAATGACATTTGTGTAATATATTGTAAGTTGTAAGGGTATTTGTAATGTTAGGTAGATAGTACAGTTACTAAAAAAAAAGAAATGGATACTTTGTTATGGGACGGACTAAAATAAAAAAATAGATACTTTGTTATGAGATTGAGGGAGTATCATTTTACAAAAGCTATTTTATTATAATTTTTTTAATCCCTTAAACAATAAAATTTCTCATTCACATATATATTAAATATATTTTTACGACATTATTTATTAACTATTTTAATACTCCATTCGTTTCGCTATATATGATCGATTTTTCTTTTGTATTCATACCAAAAAAGATGACTAATTTTATTTTTAGTAAATTTATCAATCTTAAATACAACACATATAAATCAATTTAATTAAATTTTCAACTTCATACATGTATGCCACATTCAAAACCGCTTTATTTGTATATCTCAAATTGACAAGTATTTTTATCTACCTTCAAAACTTCCTATGATTTTATAAAACTAATTTATGATAATGATAAATAAATTAATGTATATGTTTTTTTTTTTTTATTTGTACTACATTATATAAATTTTAATTATCTACAAAATAATATTAATATTATATGTATTTTATTGAGAGATAATGCTAAAAATATTTAAATTACCAAAAAATCTACTTATATAAAAAATAATAAAATAATATTATAATTTATTATCAATAACTTACTAATCTACAGTACCTAAAATATCGTGTTCCTAACAAAAAGAGTCCATGGTTGAGAGAGAGAGAGTATATTTCTAACCAATTATAAATTTATTTTTATAAATTTTAAGTAATTGAAGCTATTAATTCCTTATATATAAATTACCCCCTCTATTCATAAAAGTTAATACTTTTTTTTTTCCTTTTTAAATTTGTTCTAAAATAGGTAGATATTTTTTTATTTTTACTAAATTTATCAATTTTAAACTTAATTAAATTCTTAATATTTGATCCATTTAAAACTAATTTATTTATATATATATTTTTATCTATATCTAAAAATTTTATTTTTTATAAAATTAATTTATGTTTATTGTAGAGAAATAGAGAAAAATTAAAGTTATATTATTTTTAAAAAAATAAAAATGGAATAGTACATATATATATATAGCAAATTAGAAAATCTATCATAACTAACTAAATCATGAATATGGATATATGAATATAAATATAGATATAGATATGATTTTAATAAATTTAACAATCCCCTCAAGTTACAGCGTACAAATCATACTATCCCAACTTGTTGCAGATAGACTGAGATCTAGGACTTCTCAGAGCTTTCGTAAATATGTCGACAAGTTGATCATCTAAAGACACATATTTAGTATCTATATATCCATATAATACTGTTGAAACGTGATTTGGATTTAGCGGTCTACCCGACCCTAAACCAAAGCGAAAGAGCTGTTTCAATTGGCAGGGTTCCTTTTGGGCTTATCCTAATTAATAACAAATAGGCTTAGGGTTTAGGGTGTTTTGGGGTGCTTATAAATAGACAACTATGGTTCTTAGTCGGATGACATATTGTAAATCTTTGAATCAGTATAATAAAATCTCTCCGGTTCCTGCCCGTGGACGTAGGTTGACACACCGTCACCAAACCACGTAAAACACCAGTCTTCAAGTGGGAGATTGTTGGGATATGCTGATTATATCCTAAAATCAAAGGCTTAAGGCTATAAATATCCAAATCATATCTCTAAAATTTAAAATATAATATCCAAATCAGATCCCTAGATTTTAGGATATAATTAGGCTTCATATCCCAACAAATACTTTTTCTCTGATGAAGTGACAATCTATTTCGTTATGCTTCGTATTTGATGCAATGTGCAATGCTGCTTGGTTATCAAACAATAACTTCATCTTCGTCAATAAAGTAATTTTTTTACCCAGAGAACCTCACATGTAGCTAAAGTCATAGCACAATATTCAGCCTCAGCACTAGAGCGCGCAACCACATTTTGTTTATTACTTTTCCAAGATATCAAATTGTCTCCAATAAACACGCAATAACCGCCCAATCAGCATATGAATATCCAACAACTTCATGATGACTATGATTTGTATAAAGTAATCATTTTTCCGAAAGACACTCATATATACCGCAAAATACGCATAAGTGTCTTCCAATGAAATTCACTTGAAGACTGTATGAATTGACTCACTACACTTATTGCAAATGATATATCTGGTCAGGTGATAGTGAGATAATTAAGTTTTCTAACCTGCATTTTATATCATCCAGCATCAATATCAGTTAATGGCTCCCCATGTCCTGTAAGCAATTTTATATTTAGATCCATAGGGAATCCACAACCTTACATTCATTCATACATGTTTCTTTTAACATATTAAGAACATACTTTCTCTGACATAGGATAACACCATTCTTCGATTGGACAATCTCCATTCCTAAGAAGTACCGTAGCGGTCCCAAGTATTTGGTCTGGAAATGATTGTGTAAATGCTCCTTTAACTTTGTAGTACTATTCATATCATCTCCAGTGATGAGAATATCATCAACATAAATAATTAAGTAAACGGATCGTCCTTCTAAATTATGCTTGAAAAATACAGTATGATCATATGAATATTGTGTCATACGAAATTCTTTAATAGCAAGACTGAAACGTCCAAACCACGCATGTGGAGACTGTTTCAAGCCATAGAGTGAACAACGAAGACGACATACAAGACCAGACTCCCCCTGAGCAACAAAACCGGGAGGTTGCTCCATACATACCCCTTCTTTAAGCTCACCATACAAAAAGACATTTTTAATGTCAAGCTGATGAAAGAACCAACCACGCATTGTTGTCATCGAAAGAAAAAGACAAACATAAGACATCTTGGCAACAGGAGAGAAGGTTTCTGTATAATCCTCTCCATACACTTGAGTAAAGCCCTTTGCAACAAGTCGGGCTTTAAGTCGATCAATGCGACCATCAGGTCCAACTTTGACTACATAAACCCATCGACAAGCTATGAGTATCTTTCCTGGCGGTAACGGAACTAACTCTCAAGTGTTGTTAGCATACAAAACAGACATTTCCTCCATCATAGCCCGACACCACCCTGAATGACCCAAAGCCTTATGCCAAGAGCGACGAACAGTGATAGTCTAAAGCAGTCACAACTCTGCACATAAAAGGAGATAAACGGTGATAACTAAGAAAATTAGAAATAAGATTCGGATTACAAGTGGACCATGTACCTCGACATGGGGCGACAGATGACTGAGGAGACGCAACCGGGGAAGGCGATGGATCCGGAGATAAGTCATCAATAGGCACAGGTGATGGTGGAGTAGGTATGTTCTGACGCTGCTATGTATGACGACTATAGACTTAAAGTGGAGGCTTAGGAATTGGGACAACTGAAAGAGGAGTTACATGTATTCAGGATGGAGATGATGACACTGTAAAATATGGTTATGACCCAACGAACGTGACATTTGCACTAAGGTAATATCGACGAGTGAGAGGAGAATAATATCTATATCATTTTTGAACTCGAGAGTACCCAAGAAAAACACATTTGATGGATCAAGAACGTAATTTGTCAAATCCAGGGGAATGGTCATGAACAAAGCACATGTACAACCAAATACATGAAGAGGTAAAGAGTACAAGGACACATTAGGCTAAAAACATATTATGAGAATCTTATTTCCTAAGATAGCAGACGGAAGACGGTTGATGAGGAAACATGCTGTAAGAATAGAATCG